AGTACTTTAATTTACAATTTCGAAGCTATGTACGTCGATTTTTAATTGATGGAAATTTGAAAGTGACATATAACATAAATACGTAGTTATATAGTAAATTAGTGTAATTTTTTTTTTGTTACTGCTTATTGTGGTAGTTGCTTTAGTGTAATTAAAGTTTTGAATGAATTACTGGCAATTAACATGTTTTAGCTAAAAAATTCTTTCACCCAAGCTTATTTATCAATAGTAACAAAGGTTGAGCATTCTTAGATGAATTCTTATAATTTTCACTCTAACAGTAGCCCTAACATTGCTATATTGGCTAATCATAAGTTTGTATTGAAATTATCACAATTTCTATTTAATTTACTGTAAAAAATTCTATTATTTTGTTCAATTTGATGACCTTATTAAAGAACATATGGGAAGTCTGTTTGCTATCTCTATAGGCTCTGTTAAAGTAATCTGGATACATTGAAAACCAAGGTACATAACTTATACAAGAAACCATCCTTATTAATCTCAACTTATTAGAAGCACCATAAAGCTAAGATTTTGTTTCACAACTGCTTGGCCCTACTTCATTCCTTTACTACCTACTATGCCTTCAAGAAATCTTCTAAGCTACTTTGAACTAGTCCAATATCTTTATATAAGAAAAGCAGCTGCAAGACAGGATTCACATAGCTATAAAGAGAATCAATACACAATGGGCACTACTACTTCAAAGAAGAAAAGGGATCCTTGTATTGTTGACACAGCCGTGAAGCTCTATTACTCTGTGTCCTTGCAACTGCGGAGCCTAATTACCATCAAATAGGGTCTTTACTATTTAAAGTCATCACTACATTGTGGACTGGGAGGAAAACAGAAGGTGATAGAGCCAGCCTTCGCTACAAGGCAGCGATAATAAAAAGATAAATACAGCCTTTCAACAGCTAAGCAATCTTAATGATATTCTAATATTCTAATCTTTGTCTCATTTATCATACTCAAAAACATATGAATACTTCCTTACTTTCTTTACCCGTTTGCTAATACTCATAACAATGACAAACATTAAACAATTATATGCGATTAAACATTAACTATAGGGAACAGGGCACAGAGGTTTTGAGCATACCTAGGGCATGCCTTTTACTAAAAAATTTGCATATATAAAAATTAATTAATGAAAAATTTTGAAGAGAATGCCTATAAACATGCCCTAAATTTAAAAAATTGAAAGCATGCCCAAGAGGGCATGCCATTAAGCTAAAGCTGTACCCTGAACCCTACTTTTCTAGCAAATTACAGGTAATATGATTGTTAAAATAAGCCTGATTGTTTTCTAAGTAAAAAGTTTTGTGATATTTTAAAAACTTAACTAGAATCTGTGATTAAACGATACTCGAAATCCATCGATCCCAATCTCTAGATCAAGAATGGGTATGTGAGTCAAGTCGATTCGAGTTATCAGTTATGAATCGCTGAGTTGTTACCATTTCTGGTCATAATCATATTGTCTGAGTAAGAGACCGTTTTAAACATATATGAAAGGTTCTAGTCACATTTAAGTCCAGTAGTTTGATTTTATTATATTTAATAATAAAATGCATTCTGTACTGTACATTAGTAACTTTATTTTAACAAATTTGATATCGCTGTAGATAGTATCAATAATTCTGCTTTCACAACTTGGACGATATACTTTAATGCGAAAATAAAAATTTTCTTTCAAGATATTTATTAATCAAACCATTTAAAAACCTTTTGAAACATAAGTAGTTATTAAAAGACACGTTAATTAATTACTTGTATAAAATTCTGTTACTGTTTTGATTTTTTTTTTTTTAAGACCCAAAATCAACTAAATTTCGAACCTAAATTTCGAGCCTTCAGATGTTCCAGATCTACATCAGAAATAGACGAATAGTAAGGTTGATAAGTAGAACTAACCAATTTTGGCTTAAATTGGTTATCATTAATACATTCATATTATAGACCAAAAAGGACAGAATTTCCTTTTACAACTGTTCTCATAAATTTGAAATAAAGATTGGGAAAAGCTTGCCAGTTCGAATATTAACTTAGATTATATTTAGCATTTTGTAGATTGAATTCTAGAACAATTTTTATATAATGAAGAATTTTCATTATTTTTAAAAAGACACATAAGTCTAACTTTTTTTTTTTTTTTTATGTGAAGCAAAAGCATCGACATTAACCCATTTGGGTCATCGTTATCGACCCACCCATTAAAAAAAATCCGACCCATCGTTATTGAAATTTGTATGACGTTTTTAATAACGCATCCATGAGTTTTTTTACCTTCACTCATTGAACCTTCTTTAACTAAAATAAAGCAAAAAATTGAAAAATCGATGTTGATGTGAATAGAAAGAGCCAAATAAGCTCCCATAGTTACGCTACCAATGCAGAAATATCATTATTAAACCTACTACTGCCTTCAGTTCAGAAACGAAGAACTGTACAATTACCGTAGGTGCCACAAACTAATTCTACTATATAAAAAGAGTAAGTCCAAATAAACAATTTAATAATTTTGAATTAATTAACTATAAATGGATTAAAACAAAGTAAAGAAATCATCTACCCATTACATTACGGCGCGTTTGTCAAATTTAACTAATTTTTTGTCCCCAAATTTTAAGTTTTGGAGACGAAATCTAATATCGATTTTCTAATATTGAACCCAAAAAAAATATTATTGACACTCCGATCTATAATAACAATGCATCTAACCCATTTTCTCCACAGGCTAACCTATCTTCCCACTCTTTGACAAATTTCATTAGACATATAATGACACACCTTAACCTGGGAAGGCACGTACTGAATCTGTGACAGGTTACGCCGATGATAGTCAATTGATTGACTGTCTGTACCCCTAGCGTCAAATCTGGACTTTCATGCATAAACCAAAGTCCGGCTATAGTAAAGCATCCGGTGTACATGTTATTTGAAAAATCTGCCGATGATTATCATTGACCAATTTAGAAAATTAAGACCGGCAATTTAATCGAATATTTACTTACACGAACTGACCAAAATTCAACATATATGGGAATCCACAGCATTCACCATAAAC